TTAACGCCATTTCTTAGTACTAGCATGATATGCAATGTACCTGGTATGGTTTTTTTTTGCTTGCATCCCATTGAGTATACATTATTGAGGAGCATAAATTCATATATATATATATATATATATATATATATATATATATATATATATATATATATATATATATATATATATATATATATATATATATATAAAATCCGTTTTGTTTTTTTTTCTTGGTTTTTTGGGGGGTGGGTTTCTCACAGGTTTTGTTCCGAAAATGACCTGATATGCTTCTGACGATGAAATACCTGTATGGAATGGATGTTATCGGAAACTATTTAAAGGACATGTTTGTGGCCCCATACTTCTAGCTTAAAATTTGTGCCCGCTTTCAACCTGCCTCCACCCCAGCGCTAGCTTTTACATGTATCAGTTTCTAGATACACCATTCCATTGAAACAAAAAACGTATTGTATTATTATTTGTAAACAAGGAAAGAATCAGAGAAAGCACGGCATATGAAGCGTCCAATAACGTCCAGTATGCAGATGCTATCATTAACTGTAATTACTGCTTCATTTTCAATATCATGTAATATCTTTTTCCCTCTTTTAGGTTCATTTATCCTTATTTATTACATGAATATTAATACCCTCGCTTCGAAGGAAATAGGGGTGTATACCTTGTACCCTGCGAATCTCTCTGTTGTGTGTGCGGGGTGAGTGTTTGTGTCTGTCTGTCCGAAACATTTTTTTTCGTTGTACATGTAGTTTTCTCTGCAACAACTCATCGCAGATGCTTGAAATTTTAATACACTCTTTGGTTCGGCATACTATACAGTGATATTTATTTTGGTACTAGTCTTGTCCGTCTGTCTGTGCGGGTGGGGTATCACTAGAGAGCACTGGCTCATAGATTTCTTGTTTCCCCTGTAATTTGTGTACTTACAATTATTGTCTGTAGAATTTTATTATCTCTATTTTAGGGAAAAAACGAATGTAGCTAAATAACGTTAACTATGAAACTCTATACATATTGTTTGTATCAGGATCGCTATATGAAAAACACTGATAGTCTCTAACAAAAAAATATAGTTTACCAAAGTTAGCTATAGTTTAATGCAGTATCAAAGATTTCCTATAGCAAATCAAAGTATTTTTTTTATATATGATTGTGATATTTTATGTTCGTAAAATTTATATGTGCACGTGTTTATATTTTAGGGAACTACGAGGGGTGGTCAAAAAGCTCGTGAGCTATCTCGTTATTTACAAAACCACAGTTCAGATCAAAATGAAATTTGGCACACATTTAGTCATAAACATGTTCTATAAATAGCAGTTATTTGCTCCACGTTTGGACGTCACAATATAAAAATGACTCAATATGTAGATGACGTGACAAAATATGGTTGACTCAGTCGTACTTGAGCAACGAACGGCTTTAAAGTTTAACGTTTATCTTAGAAATTCCTTTTCAGTAGCACATAATAATTTGTACACGATTTATGAAGACAAAAAGACATGGCAGGAGTTCAATCATTAAATGGATTGATTGTTTTAGTGAAGGAAGGGAGGTGGTCAAAATGATGTTCGTTCTGGTGCCCAGTGAAAGCAAGTTTGGGAAGAGATGCGTCCTTAGTTGAGCAATCTGTAACGAAAGATCGCCAAATTACAGTTAAAAATATAGTTGAATATCATAACAATAATATAATTATTGAATCCCTGAAATATTGTTTACCTTAGATTTTAAACATATCATATATGATAAAAAGAAGGCGCCCATACTTTATCCATAATGGATAAACGACGCACCCCAATACAAAAGAGTCGGGTTGTGATGGTTACTATGCTCATTCTGGGAAAAGATATCCTAATCCACCAATCCTATTTGTGACAAATGGGCTATTCTTGTTATAAAAAATAACTTGCATTGTAAGAAATATAAGACTCGGAAAAATCTTTTAATTTCTGTGAACAGAACGCTACGGAGCATGTCACGTGATTGCCTGGATCACGTGATTCGCGCATGGGCAGAACGATGGCAGATGTGCATTCAAATCGGAGAGGACCACTTTAAAAAATAATATACATCGAAATCTGATTTTATTTCTTTTATGGAAGTAATTCAATTAGTTCGCGAACTTTTTGATTACCCCTCGTATTTCTTGTTCATTAACATATCATCACAAAATTTTAAATTACTAATATCAATTTAAGAAAGTTTCAGCTTTGAAATCTCAAAAAAAGTTCCAAACAATTTTTCATAGTTAATCAAAGTATCAAAGTATTTACTATAGATAATAATAGTAAACTATAGTTACGTGGAACTATAGTTTACTACAGTAAATTTTTGTTAGGAGTGCCCTTCGATTGTGATAGAAATACTGGCAATATACTCCCCTTCCTTGATCATTATATAGATACATGTATAATCTACATCATCATACACACATGCATTGTGTAATTCCTTATAAGTAGGCTTCTTGATGTAAGAAAAAAAGATTTTTGCTTACTTTTATCCAAAAAACTCTTATATTTTTTAAACCTCGTATCACACAGCAAGATCGCTTAATTTGTGTATAGGAAAGACATGGCCAGATTTTTTTCTATAGGCTAGCAAATTTAAAGAGTGGGTTACATCCTCGTTACCCATACCCTCAAAACTTACCACTATAAATACGCTTGATTCGAACACAATATGTGTTGCAATATTTTTTGGCACAGTTCTATGTAGTCTTGCAAACGCAACTTCAATTGTGCTAATATTGCCAATCATACTTAGAGAAAAAATAATATGTAAATTAGGCAGAGAAGCTTTTTCATAATGCAACATTCGGTTTTTTTCTATTGGTAAAAATTATTACATATAACTAGAAAGGGGAAATACGGTATAAACTTGTGTCAATTCTTAATATACCAAACACCTCTTTTATTAATTAATTAATTTTTTTATGTAAAAAGCCTCATTTTATTTATAGGCTTTGTTGTCACTAGTAAGCGACAAAAGACATTGGTAAAGATTTTGAGCTAACCATTTTTAGTGTCTCTGAGATCGAATATCAGAGGAATTTTGATTTAGTCCTGTCTGTTATTTTTACACAAATTTAATCTTCCTTATATTTTTATTAGAAGTTTTTTTACCAGAAAATCAAAGATATATATGAGATCTAGTTTTCTTAACAATTGTCCATTTCTTTCACGCAGATTTATTTGGGTAGGGTTCGAAAACATTAATCTTTCTTGTAACTTCTGAAGAAAAAAACACTCGAGACTTTATTTTCAGTCTTTTTTTACATTATTTACCCAGAGTAAAATTTAAAGAGGATCATTACAATTATACACAGAAACCATGCATTTTTATTCATATATAAGTTTCTCTCTCTGACACCAGCTAAGTAAATATTTTTTTTAATGACAACTCTGGAAACTTTTTTTTTATAAATAAAATTTGATAAAACAAATCTAAGAACACGTGTATTTTTGCTCTTATAGTCATCGAACAGCATAATAGCCTATAGTTATTTGTTTTCCTTTAATGGGATAAAACGTCTTGTATTATTGATGTACATGTAAGGTATAGTGTAACCTTTTGTTACTTAAACTTTAAAGCTTTAAGGCTACGTGATTTTACCTCTACGTATTTGCCTAACAAGAATATTCCTACCAAAACCAGTTTTTTTTTTTTGTATAAAAAAAGACACGGAGTCATTATTCTACGGGTTTATTTTTCTACAACCCACACGGAGAAAAATGACCCCCAGGCCATAAATTCTACGAAAAAGGGGGTCATTTTTCTACGTAGAATAATGACCAGGGAGTCAAATTTCTACGTAGAAAAATGACCCCCGGTCAGTATTCTACGGGGGTCACTTTTCGTCGTTACACCGGAAAGACCCGAAAAGATGCCATTGATTTAAACATTGGTTATACTGTAAATCATACTGTAAATTTTGAATTTACTGGGTGGAAGTAAGAACAAAATTTACAATATGACAATGCTATCAGTGAGTAAAAAATTATAACAATGTGCATGCATGCATCTTACTCGTATTTGGTCAACAATAACTCATTTTATATAGTCCTAAATAAAAGATATTAAAAAGTAAAATATTCAAAGAAATATAATTCAGTATGTCTTGCACATCGAATGTAGATTAATATCACAATCTACAATTCCCACTTTTTACCTGGAACTAGCCTAGAATTGTAAACTTTACTCATCAGCACAGGGTATACTAAATCTAAATAACAGATTGTTTATACGTTATTAATGCCAGATCACATATTTATCAAGTTTTTTTTCTAAATCCTTTCGTATTCCTACATTCTTTTCAAATTCTATATTTTCATATCTAGACATTGTATACTTAAGATTATAAAATAATTTATAATACTAAAAAATATTGGAAAACAATGCAAGACCACAAAAAAAATTGAAATTCCCCCAAAATGCCCTCATAGATTCTCCAGACTGACGTGTTTCGTTTATTTATGATTGATTTACATGTACATGGTCGTGTGAAATCTAGTGTATTCACAGAAATGAAGCCCGATTTCATCTCATGCTAAGTATTTCTTCTATATACAGTTCAACTTCAGTATCTCAGATATGGATATCTCGATTACCATGGATATGTCGAAGTGATTGGGAAGTCCTAACTAAGTATTTGTTAAGTATTTTACCCTTGATATCTCGAACCCTCGGATATCTCGGTCGCATTGAGTTCGAGATAATGGGGTTTGACTGTATTCATCTATATAACACATGTAGAATAAGGATGGCTTTATGAAGGAAAACTTTGTTATAAATATGTCTTAGCACTAATTAATAAAGCCTGTATAGTCTGTTTTAGAATTTTCCATAATTTGATTTATTTATTTATTTAAGATTATCCTACATCTCTAGAGCCCTTAAGAAAAAAAATTACAAGTATGTGCACTTTATAAACTGCCAGTTACCAGTTATTTACATTTAGAATGTTGTGTATATCTCAAGATTAACGAAAACAGACAACAAAATAATGTTCCATATTTATTGACTTTTTTAATATCATTTTTTTTTCACCACATTTATAATACAAATTTCAATATTCATATTAAGTGTATATAAAAACTAGCATAACAACAAATTGAATGATTCAACAGATAAAAAAATCATTGTCACAACAAATTTCCCTTGTACCTAACATGCAAGTGGCAAATCGTGTAGGTGAATATTAATAAAATCTCCATTGTGAAATTTATTTAGAAAAACATTGCTGAAGTTAAAAAAAAAAAAATCAGTGTTCAAGGGGGATAACTCAGATCTTAATCTTTCTACCCTGAGTGAAAATCACATTTGATGTGAATATCTTAATATTTGATAATTACAGAATGAAAACAAAACATACCAAGTCTAATTATACACATACCATCACTGTACAAAAAGCACTATCTATAACACATTTGGTACAATCATTTAGCATCATTTAATTCTCTTATAGAAAACTCACTAAAACTCAACAAAAATAATAAATATATAGATAGAATTAAAATTTAAGATGAATGACGATTGATTTAGTCATCTGTTTGGACTAGCTGTACATTATCCACACCCTCACATGGCAGTGAAACAGCTCTCTCTCTCTCACACAATTAGCAAAGATCAGCATGGAGACAACAAATGGTAAGCTTGTTTATGACTGATGATCTGACATACAATGAGACTTTGGCAAGATTTGAACATTTAAAGAAGGTATTGATATATCACAATTAATGCTTTTACAATTTTCTTCTAATGGCATCAAACGACAGTGTCAGATTTGAAGAAGAGATTGTCAATATCATTGCACAGATCGTCGGGGTTGATGGTATAACTGCCCGATGTCGTTGTAGCATCATCGTCATCTCTCGCTGTTGTATTGCAGCTTTCGCTATAAGTGTCATCACAACGCACTAAATTTTGATTTTCAGTTCTATGCAGTCTATCATGTATGAAAGACTTTGGCACAGAAGGAATGTCTCGTAAAGCTTTCCTCTGTGGTGAGTAGTGTTCAGAATGTAGCCTCTGTAAATTTTTACCGCTATGGTTCACTGAGTTTGACGAAGGATGTCTTGAGACATTGAGAACATTTTTAGATCCAGCATTGCGGGGAAATGTGGACAAACCTTCAGAAGGAGACCCACGTCCAAATGTGGAAAAGTTCATGTGATTTGTTAAGGAATGTGATCCTATGGAAGAAATCCCACTGCTATTGGCCACCGATAAGTGACGAGATCTTGTTGAGTCTTGATCTACACCTATAAAGGAGCAACAAAATTTCCATTTGAAAATGAACCAAAAATGTTAAATTTATATGGAACATGAAGCTTTCATCTACTACTACATATAAGTAAATATTAGTTTTAATTAGACTAATATCCATTTGCTTATAAAAAAAAAAATAGGTAGTTGGATAAAATTTTTAATCAGTAACCTATAATTTAGAGGATCATTCTTAACTACCATTACTTTTGAAATAATTTTACATAGGAATCTATAGTTGAATTAGTTATTTATTTCAGGTTCTTCATTAATTAGTGAAGCTTTATACCTGTTGTGTCATTGTGAGGGATGCCGCTGTTGCGGATATCCTCCTCACTTCCACCCCTCCCACTGTCCCCTGTCAAGGACTCCTCCGACAAGTCGCTCTGATTATCTCCTTTTAATTCTGATGGTCTAGCAATCTCCATGTATGGCATATTCTAAAATAAAAAAAAAGATAAATAAATGAATGAATACATAAATACAAAATAAAATTTTAAATAACATTTTTATTCCTTCCTATATTATTGAAACAAGAAATTTCAAGTGATTACACCAAAAACTACATATGACATAACAAGTTAATTTTCACGGATGCCAAAATTAAAGAGGACCTGCACATAAAGTTTAAATAAAATGCATGACATTATGACAGTCCCTCTGGCCTCCCAAAACAAGAAAATGAAGGCTGTCTGTGACATGCTTTGAAGTGGCTTCAGTTGCCCCTAAGTCCTATCTCAATAGACTAGGGCCATTTGGTTATTCACTTCATGCACAAAGTCTCCAGAAATATTTAATTATCTGATTTGCTAACAAGATAGAGCTGATGGAAGTCTAGGATAGTGTAGTGATAATGTTGTATTGTGTAATGTAATATGGAGCCCTTGGGATAGCCAGGTGTAATCTACTTAGTGCTTTACATGCAGATAACTTTATCAGAGTTATTCCCCTTTATGCACACTCCCCAACTCCACAGGGAGACTTTAAAGTGTCAGACCCAGGGAAATATACTTCTAGGTCACACCGAACCAAAGGTTAAGTACAGTCAACCATTGGCTAGGTTTTACTCTAAATATATTTCCACCCTAATATATTTTTGTTAATGAAATCCATTTTAAAACCCTATCTTACATGCCGATCTTCTGATGGGAAGAGGAAAACTTTGACATGACCTTCCTCTTTATAAAAAATTTTGCTTGAAGTCAAATAAATAATAGATTCTTATGATGGAAATATATCTTTGAACTCCAGAGCCCAAAATATCATGGAAAAACATGAACATTGTTAGAAGTCACATGCTGGAACAACAATAGATTTGCCTTAAGCAAAAGGAGACAATTTTTCACTCTATCACTTCAATCATAAAGCATCTTTCAGACCAATTGTTAAAAACCAGCTCCAGCAATTTTCTAACCTTTTTAGAAAGCCTGATAGGTTTCTGTGACATTTATTATTATTCCAACATATTTAAAATGATGCATAATAAAGACATCTTTAAAGCTTCAAGATGTTTACGTACCATTACATGAACACAAGCCTCAAGCAATCTGAATGTTTTTATTTGTAATATTTTCTCAAGATCTAAACATATTATTACCTACCAATGGCTAAGACTATTATATCATTATATCCTTTCATCTTGAGTCTTATCTAAATATGTCTTAAACTTTTTCTAAATGACTGTGAGAAAACGAAGATTTCTGAATGAATTTTATGAGGTATGCAGAGAGAGCACTTCTGATCTCCAAATTCTAAATAGCGCCGATTCTTGCTAAGCAAATGCAATATCATTTTGAAACCTTTTTCAAATGATAAATTTTAAGCATATATTACACTCCTCATTCAATTTTGAAGGATCAGTTTAAAGAGAACATTTACTGTTTTGGAAATTAAGAAATTACTGTATGACATATCTTATTCATTCATATTTAAGTACCTCTAAAATTCTTACATTCAGTATGCATTTTTTATTCAATGTAAATCTGAAGTTCACCTTCATTCTCTCTTCGTGCTGCCACTGGTGCTGGTCCTTGGTCTGTAATATTCTCTGCTGTAGTCTGAGGGACTCCATTCTATTGATGTTACGAGCATTCTTGTCTGACAGTGTGCTGTCCTCTCTGGTGTGCTGTACAGATGATGGAGGCTTAAAAAAAAATATCAGTCCTTAATGTAAAATTAGAATAAAAGGAGGGAATCACTTCCTTCATAAAAAAAGTTTGAAGTAAGAGACTCAAATTTTGGACTTTTTTGGTGTCTATAATCAGTAGTGAACATGCTATGGTTATTTGTCCAGTAAAACACACTTATAATGAATCTTTGCTTACAGTTAGTGTTGCGAAATCAGAATAAATTTACTATCGAATATCAAATTGAATCGGTAACATACAAATGATTGTAAGATCGATAATTTGAACTTAATTTAAAGGCTAAATTAAATAAGTTAACTATAATATATTCAGATAACCTTGGAAAAGAAAACAATATTTCAATACAAATCTGTGAGACCAACTTCGATTCATGCTTAGTGGGAAAATTTGTCTGCCATACGCAAGAAAAATAGAGGAACGTCCTTTGATAATGTTCAAAGATAAACCATTTTGTTTAAAAAATATATTTTGAAGAAAAAAAAATTAGTGACTATCGATTTTAAATTTTCTATCCATTGTCGCTGACATGCTGTCTTCAGTGATGAATTTTTCGATATTTGGCAACTATTGTAACAACACTACTTACAATGATTTTCATTCCCCGTGGTTTTAAACAGTATTGTGAATTTTATGGGTATAATGAATTACACTTATATTGAGGCAAAATTGTCCATCCCTGGGAATTCATTATAAGCTTGTTTTACTGTATGACACCAATCAATTCTACAGCACAATAAGAACATGCAATCCTAAATGAATCTTGATATTTACGAGTTTACATAATTTTGAATCATTTTTAAATGAAATTTATGGTCACTAGTATTTCTGGAACTGACAACTTATGATTTGAAACAAATATCTTGCGTCTCCCTTAAGGGCCAGAGTGTGTTCATCTAATACATTACCAACAGATGGTTAGTTTTATGTAAAAGTAATCTGCAAAACATAGAAAATTGCATGCTTCTAGTCAAAAGCATTAATGGATTGTGATATTTTAGTCAGGAACCGATATTGTTTGAGACTCATTGCGATCGTCACACCTACTGATTTGGAATTCTCAAGAGGAGATGCTTTAGTGGTTGACCAATATTTTGATTTCAGTTAGTGTAAAGACTGCAGGTTTTACCAGATTTACATTTCGGATTTAAGTGAGATAAAATTACTCTCAGAAATCATCTTGAATGTAATAGGGACATCACAGGGAGATTTTATTATCTAACAGGAAAAAATCAAATATTTGTTTCAAAATTGTACAGAGTTCAAGTTTTGCATGAAATCAAGCACGGGTCTGAGTCAACATCATTAATGGATAAAACCATGTAATTAAATCATTTCCCATTTCCTGTCCAAACATACGGACCAAACATAGGAATAACCAATACATGTTTACCGGGTAACTGTTTGCCTTCAATATGTCAGTATTTAGTATGCCTATGTAAACTTGCAATCTTTTACCTGTACTGTGTATATTATTGCAGTCAATGCCCAATTAATTTGGTGCAAAAACATTTTCAAAAATCATATTCTATTCATTTAGGAAGAAATACTGGATGAATTTCTAAAGAAATAAAATTGATTAAATACCTGTGGATCTACTGGGCTAGACTTGAAGGTTGACATACTGGGGCTGCTGCTGGGATGACGAAAGGACATGCTGTCATCTTCCAGGGAAAAGCTGACCTCCTTGCGATTCCGGTTAAAATCCCTGTGAGGGATGATGTGGTCTGCTGACCCCCTGGAGGAGGAGGACCGAGTGCTGCTGTTACGAGCCATAGTTTCCATGATCTTCATTTCCTCCATACTTTTGGCACGATAGTTGTGTTTTTTGACGTCTGCTCGTCTGATGACACAGATAGTGATGATGATAGCAATGGACAGAACTAAGGTTACTATAGCAATTACTATGGCAATGATTAGGTTCTGAGGCTCATCCTCTGCGATTTTTTGTGCAACGGCAGTGGTGTTGACAAATTTGATGTGGATGGAACACAATTGTCGAGATGTTTTTTGCTGTACTGCTCCTTGGTCAGTAGCAGTCAACAGAAGGTCATAAATTCGAATTTCATGAAGATGGATTTTTCTGGCTAAGAATATTTCTCCAGAATATGTGTCTATTTTGAATAAATTTGCTTGATTTCCTTCAATAATGTTGAATCTAATTTCTGCATTAACACCTTTGTCTGGATCAACAGCAATAATAGTAGTCACCACACTGTCAACTTCGGCCAAATAAGATAAATTTACAGAGTAGTTAACACTGTTTGGAAATATAAATTCTGGGTCATTATCATTTATATCAGTTAGCTTCACAATGACTGTTGCACTGCTACTCCTGGAAGGGACACCATTGTCTCTGGCAATCACAGTAAAATTAAACTCCTCAACCTTCTCTCTGTCAAGTCTTCTAATGCTCTTAATTTCTCCATTCGGCTTCAACAGCAAAGGCACTTTTCCAACAGAATTACTATCCATTACAAATGTTACATTGCCATTTTGACCAGCATCTCCATCTTTGGCTTTTACAAAACCAATAGTGGTCAAATTGGCAATCTCTTCTGGAATGTGGAATTCAAACAATTCAGAATCAAACTGAGGTGTGATGTCATTTTTGTCCAAAATTCTCACCAATATTGTTGCTGTGGCAGTCAGTGCAACAGGGTTTCCTCCATCAACAGCAATTACGGTGAAATTAAAATGGCTGATCTTTTCCCTGTCAAAAGAGTGCCTAGTAGTTATTATACCATCCACTGGGTTAGCAATCCTGAAGTCCACTTGACCATTGGGATTGATGTAATAGCGAACTTTAGCATTGTGGCCTTGATCATTGTCTGTTGCACTTACTTTGACCACTACTGTTCCATTGGGTTCATTTTCATAAATCTCACATGGATAAATTTTGTTGATGAACTGAGGAGTATTATCATTCTGATCCTGAATCTGAACCTTGAAGCTCTTTGTTGAATTTAAGGCCGGAGTTCCACCATCTTCACAATACACTGTGACGATATGTTCAATGATATCTTCCCTATCCAAGGTACCATTCACCACTACTTTAAACTCATTCTGCACACCTGGCATGGGCTGGAGTTTGAAGAAGGCACTGTCTACAATGTGGCAGGAAACATGCCCATTAATTCCAGTGTCTGCATCCTCAACTTCCACATGTGCCACAATATCTCCCATGTTGGCATTCTCATTGATGATTGCATAGTCATACTCGGACAGAACGTTGATGCTGATTACTGGAACGTTGTTGTTTGTGTCGTTGATGTTGACAATCACTTGAGCCTGACTGCTCTTCCTGGGTTCACCATTGTCAACAGCTTCCACAATTATTTTGTATGGTGTCAAACTGTATTCTGGAGTTCCAACCAGAATTATTTCCCCTGAAGCACGATTCATGTTGAAGATGTCAATGTTGTCTGTCTGAATTGTGGCAAATTTGTAAGAAACCTCTGCATTTCTGCCTGTATCTCCATCATTTGCAGTCACTTGTACAACAAGAGAGTTCATTGGCATGTCCTCTTTGATGGTTACATTGTACATCTGCTGAGTGAATATTGGTGCTTTGTCATTAATATCTGTGACAGTAATATTCACAGTTAAAGTTCCTGATTTGGGGGGATTTCCCCCATCCAAAGCACTAACATAAATGGTATATCTATCTACTAGTTCCCTGTCTAGTGGTCGAATAAGCCTTAGGTTTAGATCAGAAGTTCCATCTAATTTTGGAATAACATCCAAAGCAAAGATTCCAGAATCAGGAGTAATCTTATAATGAGTGATGGAGTTGTTTGGTCCCATGTCAATGTCTGATGCCCCTAACAAAGGAAAGGTGGAATTTATGAAAGGCCCCTCTGAAATCTCCAAAGCTACTGAAGCCTGGGGAAATGTTGGAGCATTGTCGTTGATGTCATCTATGTAAACTATCACATTTATGGTCAGAAAAAAATTTCCACTTCTAGCTGCAACCCGCAATTCTTCTTTACACACAATCATATGTGGACAGAGCACTTCGTGGTCTATCTTTGTCTTTCCACTCAAAATGCCTGAACGTGGATCAATTTCAAACATTTCCTGACTCTCTCCGATGAAGGAGTATTCCATCCTCTGTAGAACATCAGGTGTGACATCAGGCTTGGAAGAAACATTTGCATCTTGTCCAACATTTCCTATGAAATAGGTAGGAACCCGCTCTTCATTTATATGATAAACCAAAGAGGAACACAGTTGAAGAACAAAATACAGTACAAAGACTTGCAACATCATGATGAATTGATAAACGTCACCAGCATGTCAGGCGGAAAGATAGTCTTCTTTTGTCTGTGGTGGACTTGTCATTAATCTGAAAAAATAGACGGACAAATGTTAAATATTGACAAAAATCTTGACCGCACCAGTTTATACGTTTGGACTTAAATCACCTTTATCCATCTTATTTTTGCAATCATGTTTAAATTCCCTACATAATGGCAAAGTGAGATCCATTGAGAGCCGTCACAGAGCATATCCTGGTAAAGTTGACTACGTTTTGCCTAATGCGGAGTCTTTGTGTTGTAATTCCCAGCTAAATAGGATCAGAAAACTAACTGTGATTCTAATAAGAAAAATTTATAAACTCAAAATCCCCACTCAACATGTGCTTTAAAGAGACATTTCAATGAAATCTCCATAAATCTGATCTAGAAGAAAGTCATTTTATGCCATTAAGTTTGTACTACACAGCATTTAGATTAATTCTAAAGACTTCTATGAGGAAATTTATCAAATTCAATTGATATTACACAAACTTATCCAAAAATGAATTTAGTTCTTCACATTAACCTTTATTATCTAAATTTATATAGTATCTTTATAACCTTCAAATCAATTTGCTTATGCATGTATTTCCATTTATTTAATTCGCATTTCATTTCAAACTTCATAGCCAAATTCTAATTAATCAATAATAAAATTTAAATCATTAAAATACTTATACAAATAACAATTACATTAAAAAAATACTTATAAAAAAATGAGTTACTTAAGAATGAAATGGATTGATAATTTGTCGAAAAAACTAAAGGTTATAATATCCTAATTTCTTTTTTTTACCTCTTGTGTGAAAGTAAATTAATCCAAATATGGAATAAATTATTTCATTCCTTAATTTTATTTCATAAGCTGTACCAAATTTTAAAAATCCAAAATACCATTACCAGTAAATCAAAACCACAAGTTGAAATAAAATACTTTTGAAGTTTTTCACCCCCTAATGATTTTCTTAACATTTCTTCAATGATAATTGACCAACTGTTAACTACTGAATGCAATTACTCTCTTATAATTTCTTCTTAATACACCTTATAATTGAATTATGTCATAATATTGTTGTCAGATTTAAACTGTATAAAATAAAAAAGCACAATATAGATTTTTTGACAGGTTTTCTTGGTGATTAACTCCAGACAATAATGCATGATGTCACCTTTTAAAAGTCCTTTCTTTAGTACTTTGTGTCACTTTCATGTTCTTTTGTTTTGTTCTTGTGTCTTTAGAAAGTTTTCCGTATTATCTGATTTTTTTTTTTCAGAAAACACCCAACATTTTGCCATGGACAAAAAGATTATGACCAGATAAATTAGAGGAGATTGCAGTAAGATTTAAAAATAAAAGAAGGTTCAAATTTCGTTTTTGAGTGTATTAAGACAATGGTGAAATCCAGATTTCAAACTTTATATTTGTAGGTGCAAAAAAATAATATTAAATTGATTTTTTTTAATCTCCTCATTTAAAAAAACATCAAAGTTACCTCCCACACTTAAAACGATAAACTCCAGTCATCAATGTCCACAAATAAAGAGGTAAAAACCAAGACAATATTTATACTGATGTAAAAATTCCTCATTATGAAGTAAACCAAACCCTAAGTAATTTAACCAACATCCTCTCTCTTTGATTACGGAATACTGAGACAAAATATCGGACAAATCATATCCCAAATTATATGATACTGGTCACCATGGTAATGTCATGAAAATGAATCATCTGCAAATAAACTCGGACCCTCCAAGTCAATCGAACCCAGATTAAGTAACAGCAAGAGGCTGTAAATTTCAGGTAAGACATTTCTGAATTGGTCATTAAAATAATGGATTTATAGAGGACACGGGGAATTTGACTATGGTCTTCATACAGTGAGAACAAACACGAGGCATTCTTCACAGCAGTAAGGGGGGATTAAATACTATCCCAATCTTCGTGAAATAAATAGGTTGTGTGTATCCATATTATCACCTTAAGTCAACTTATTTAGTCAACTGGACTTCCTTAATCAAACAAAGAACTAGATAGTAAAACTAGAAACAATGCCAATTCACAGGTGTGAGAAGATATAAGGGCATGATGACCCAAACTGACCAGCTATCATCAGGATGTAATTTCATACGGACCAAAATTGGACATCGGATCAAAGAGAAAAAAGGACAGGTGGAAAAAATATTTCACAACTTTTTTGTGTTATACACTGTAACACAATCAGGATCGTTACAACATTAATTATTTATTATAGAGTATTCAGGGATTCAATTTCAAATATTTTTATGAAATAAAACACAGAATACTAACTATAAGTTAGTAATAGCAATGTTTTGATATTACGTAAATTAGAAATGAAAGATTTGTTATACATAAATATTAAGTGTATATGAGGGTCCACAAAATCAGAAGCAGTATAAATTGAAAAAAATAAATTAGAGTTTGGGTTTATTACAATAGAAATAAATTTTAAGAGGTGAAAACAATGTTCTCAGGAGTGACCCATAAAAGAGACAGGACAAGATGACCAGTGACCCTCGGTCAATTAAAACCACAAAACCTGGATCATTACTATATGGTCTCAATCTTCTTTTCCTTCTGCTATTCGCCTATGACTGATTGAAACGTACACAGTGAAAATGAAGTTCCGCACAGTTAATTACTTTTTACAATAGGGAGACCAAATAAGGCTGGGACATTTATGATGGAAATAAACAACTTTATGATTAAAAGAAGAAAAGATGAAAGGACCGATTCTATTTAGAAATTTAGCTGTCTGGTGATGGCAGGTATTTGTCAAAGTCCTATTCCAATCCAGAGTGCTGTAAATTTGAGAATGATCAATTGTTACCTACATACATTAGGAAACACTCTCAATTCCAATGAACATGGAACAAAAATAAAGTTTTAGATACTCTCAAGAAACATAAAAATATTACTGTAAACTTATATCAGGTTCCATTTCAACAGTTACATGCATGTACCAGTAAAAATGTAGTGATTTTGGTTTGATTTGAAATTAAGATAATTGGAATTCTTTACCTGTAAGAAATTTACAAGCATCACAGGGACACATATTCCAAATGGTTCCAGAATCCACACCACACAATGAATAGACAGTCTAACTTGACAGTACACTAACTATATTATTTTCCAGTGATTAAGTCCTTATGTCACCCAATAATGATAATGGGTGTTCAATTAAATCCCTGAATTTTATAAAGTGTCACTTTTAGCCCCAAGACCCTAGCTAGCATGCATCAAGTAACAAATTTCCAAGGTTGTACATTGCTGGAATTTCATTGGTTGAAATTTTAAAAGTTTGTTACAGTTTTAATTATGGTGTAAGAAATTGATAGCAGGGGATAGGAAGACTACCTGTAGTGAGAGAAATCAGAAGAGCTACCCCAGGGGCTAAAGAGACATGCTGTACAAGAAACTGAGACTAATCACTGCTCAATCTTCACTTAAATTTCAATAGATGCCAGCCCCTTAACTTCAATTTTATAAAAATATCATTTGGATAGGTGGGAATAATTCTTGTGCTCCTTTGAACTTATCTGTAAAGTCTGTCAAAATGTCACTGTTGTGTTGACACAGCCATGATTAGCAAAACACAGCAGCAGATACATGGTTCATTAATCTTGTTTAAATCAAAATTTTACAGATTTAACTACCTATCTGATTGATTAAGACAAATTAATTTTTATCTTTGGTCAATATTTTTAAAAAATGCCAAACATTTACTTAATTCATTCAATGATGAATCAAAAATTGTCAAAATAGCAACCCAAGAACATATGTAATCTTTGTTCACAGTTTGCATTGGAACCCTTTTGATATTCATCAATTTTTGACAGAATTACAAACATAGGTTCTAAAACAGACAAACACACACTTTTAGCTAAATAAAAATTCAGATTGTATATACTTATCCTTCAAGCCATCTAAATATTTACTTTACCACCTTATTTGATTTTTTTTTTTTTTTTTGAATTATGACAAAAATCTTATCTCGAAACATGTATCTACACAGGGAAACTAAATTTAAACATTAAAATTTCTTATTATGAATTAAGGATATATGACACAAACAAAAAATTTGATGCATGGAATGATATTCTATTTTTTGACTGATATTTTAAATAGAAATGACATAAATAATAGATTACTGAAATATAAAGAACTCGTAGAATAATATGTGACTTCATGCCATTTTCTACATAAATCTATTCAAATTTTGAATACATTTATGACATTAATACAAAATCTTACAAATTTTCACTTTAACAAATATTACTCAAATTATCTATATGAACATAAATCTAATAGATATATTGCTGATATCTGAAAAGTTTGTGTTATTTTTTCCTTAACTGAAGCATAATACTGACCTGGTGTGCACTTCGGTACAGTTAGAATTTGAGAGAATAATCTTAAACCTAATCCCAGAGGAGTCCAGATGACAATTCATATACAACCTTAATACCACATCTAGAGGAGTCTGGAACAACACTGACCACTGGAAGATGGACATTCGAAATCCTCAAAACTGTTTTTAATTAGGTTGACCTTGCCATGAGTTGATCTCTTTATTTTTCTGAGGATCATGGAGAGTGTTTAGCACTGAATTGTCAAGAAAAAATGTATAGCAACTCACTTTTCAACAAAAAAGTTCTATTTAATTTGTTTTTGGTGCTTTGACTTGATGTCACCAACTGCTACAATCACACCAAATACTAGTTTTGTTTGTTTGTAGAAAAATACACCTGACAGAATTCAATTAAATCTCAGTAGTTCTTTTTCCACAGAACTAAATATTTTCACAACTGGTCTTGCCCATCTCAGCAGTTTAACCCTTAGAAAAAACACCTTTCTATAGCTAAGTCCCTATCACCAACCTGTGAAAATGTCAGAAACTGTCCACAGATTATCACATTTAGACATTACCTGTAATTATCCCAAAACTTCTTATCTGGCCACACAAAAACAAACTTAATTAGTCTCCACAAAAACCTTTAAACTTCCTTTGATTTTCTGTCAACCTTT